CTCTTCAGCTCAAGGCTAGCGCTCTACCACTTGAGCTACAGCGCCACTTCCGGTTTTCTGGTGGTTTATTGGAGATAGGAGTCTCACAGTCTTTCCTGCCCGGGCTGGCTTTGAACCTTGATCCTCAGATCTCAGACTCCTGAGTAGCTAGGATTACAGGCGTGAGCCACCAGCGCCTGGCTATGAGTACATTTCTTATCAAGCATTGTAGCCTCCTCCTTTGTTTCCTCCATTCCTTCCCATCTTCCCTCCGCCCCACCACCCAATCCTTCCTCCCCTTCTCCCCCCCACCAAAGTTGTAAAGTTCGTTTTCGACATAACACTTGTACATCTCATTGTTGCAATGGGTAAGCAAATCGTTTAAATAGGGATACAGGTGGACCCATTGCAACAAAGATCTTTTGATATAAGCATCTATCACTAAAAACTTCCTTCTTAGAATTGGATTTGTTGGATTCTGTAAGTTTTGACATGTGGTCACATTGTTACTGATGTTAAGATATTTTTATGTTTTACTTTTAGTTTATACTCTGAATCTTGATTGTGCAGGAGCATGTGGTTAAATATATATGTGTATGTATATATGCATATATATATATGGAATTATAGGGTTCAGCTTCTAGACTAGAAAATAGGGGTACATCATCAAGGGTTTCTATAAGGATTCAGTGGGATAGATCATTTTCCTTCTTACTTACATTCAAGGTAGGACTTCCTGTTATGCCTGGGCTGGGATCCTCTTCCTTATGCTTTCTCCGGGGATGACAATTGGGTGTCACGGTGATGAGCCATTGTACATCTCTCACAACTGGGATAACAGGCCAACACAGCTACAGTTAGCCACCATAGCCAGGCACTGATTGAAAGGAAGTCTCATGAACTTTTGTGCCTGGGCTAGTGTTAAACAACAACTTCTTAATCTCTGCCTCTCCCAAGTCGTTAGGTTTATAGTCTTGAGTACCATGCATGGCCATCACTTTCTGTACTCTATTGCCTCTTAAATAACTGATTTTTGTTTGTGTTTAACATACTTCATTATATTCTTTTAGACTAAGGTTGATAAAAATTTCAGGACTGAAAATTATGAAGAAGAGATTGAAATATTCACTACAATCATGCAAGAGAAGATATCAAGTTTCAATGCAAATTTAGCTATAAAATTAACACCCACAGAAACAAACAAAAATAATGCTGAAGAAACTACTGAAAAGAAAGAGTCCTCAAAGTCTGAACGTTTCTCCAGCGATCTGAAATTTTCATATTTCAAAAATGAAACTTATAAACGATTGTGGTCATATTCTTCAAGTAAGGTAAGAGCAAAAAGTAATAAAAAAAGACTATCATAAAATATATTTCACACTAACAAGCATGTTCTGTAGTAATTTAGAGCAACTTTGTCGCTAGAACAAACATCAGGAAGTAAAAAGAGCAAGGGAGAAAACTCAGATGGGACCCTAGAGAGTAGATAATAATAAGATGTTTGGTATTAATGAGCAGAGAATGTTTTCCAAGAATTTAATCTGTTCCTTTTGAATGAGCCTGTAGTTAGAGACCATTTAAATCATGCAATCATCCCAATCATCAAAAAGAATTAAACTGAGGAATTCTGATTATTTATTGAAGTTACATAATCAACATGTTTCTAGGATGCAAAAAGTTTAGTTCCATGTTCCTATGCACCAAAATGTACATTTAAAAAGAAACAAATATTTTAAATGCCCTCACAATTATCACATGTTAACTATAGCAATGGTAGGTGAACCTCCAAAGATCCATCTACAAAATCATGCTAAACTTGCAGTTTAGTTTTGGCTTAGAACAAGAAAAGCCATTGAAGTACCAGGTTCACTGACTTCGTTTTCTCGTGGAAATCAAAGGCGTCATCCTTGGCCTTGGCAATATTTAACTGTTGTATTGTGGAGATGTACTTGAGATTCATAGTTTAAAATATTGTTTCTCCTAGCTCCATCATTAAAGTCTAAAGAGACGTAGGGAAAAAAAAACAGAGCAACTACAGATCTACATTCTTAGTAAAGATGGAGGAGAGTATTTGTGGGGTTTGGGGTAAATAACTTAATTGATAACTTTCAATCAGTTTCCTCATCTACAAAATAAGAAAAGATTGACTCTTCTATATGTGTACATTTCCTCCTGTTGGCAGTAGTTTCGCATCAACTTAATGAGGTGTATTTTTTTACAATAAAATGCAAAGACTTTAAATAATAGTTCTATGAATTTGATCATTCGATACACCTTCGCAGGCACAAAGATATAGAGCATATCTCTTCAATCAAGATGTAGAACACTGACCACACTAAGAGAACTTCATGATTATCATCACTGAATAGATTTCTCTGTTCTAGAACTTTATATAAATGGAATCATGAATGCATATTCCTTTGTGTATCACTTCTACGACTCAACATATTTCTGAGATTTATTTATTTTGTTGTATGTATCAGTTGTTGTTGTTTTTAATTTTGATTGCTGGCTAGTATGTCATTGTACAGACATGCCATAGTTTATTATCAACTCCCCTGCTGATGGGCATTTGAGCTCTCTCCAGTTTTAAGCTAACTGTATAATGTTGCTATAAAGTTCTTCTATGGGTCTTTTCGTGGACAGTGTTTTCTCTAATCTTAGGAATTCATGGGTAGATGTGTTTCAGACTCTGAGAAACTGCCAAGCAGCCCTCCAGAGAAGTGACACCATTTCCTACTCTGTACCAGCGATGTCTGAGAGTTCCACTTGCTTGCAATTCTTAACCACAATTGACTATTACCATATTTAGTGGTTAGTCTCTCTAGTGGAAAAAAGTTGTATCTCATGGTCACTACTGAATATTCTATTCCTCTGGAAATAAATGTTATGCTTTTTAAAAATTTTAATGTTATTGTCAAGGTGATGTACAGAGAGGTTACAGTAACATATGTAAGGTACTAAGTACATTTCTTGTCAAACTTGTTACCATCTCCCTCATTTTTCTCCTACTTTTCATCCTCCTAATCTGCCCCCAGGTTGGACAGTTCATTTCTAATATATTGTTTTGTGAGAATTGTTGCATTGGTTCATCCTTTGCCCTTTGTCTCTTATCACTCTCTTCTCAACTCCTCTCCAACAAAGGGAAAACAGTTTCTGTATGTGAAAGGAGTTGTTCAGCTGGGAAAATTTTTGATGAGAAATCGCAATGTTGTGTTGACACAAACTTTCCTGGATGATATAGAAGCTCTGCCAACCACCTATGCAAAGGGAGAATACTTCGGGTTTCTGGAAACTTATGGAACCCACTATAGTAGCTCAGGGGCTGTTGGAGGACTCTATGAACTAGTGTATGTTTTGGATAAAGCCTCCATGAAAGAGAAAGGTATGCTTTGAATTTGAATTCTGACTACAAATATTATCTTGACTGAACTTCATTCCTTTGTTCACATCTTCCAATATTGAAAGCCTTTAGAACACAGAATCTACATGTCTGCTTTGAAAGAACTTTCAGGTGTCCCTTGTTGCCTAGAACCCTATCAAATAGCACACTAATATCTGCCTTGAATAAACATAATGACTCAGTAGTATCAGTGATTGCATTACAAGCTAACATCTGCTATATGAAGATGTTGCTATGAGTAAAATAATATTAAAAGGTGAAAGAAAGCTCAAGAATTACAATTTACACAGCATATTACTTAAACATTAGCCTTATTCAACTTACATATGATGGCTATCCTTCAAATTACTCAGCATTACAAGGAGAATTTTTATATATTTTTTCTTAGGAGAGGAAGAAGTAATATATGAATCTTGCTTCTTAAATCAATGATGGAAATTAATTTTAGCTCATATGATGATAGTTGTAATGTGGTGGTGGTTGAAAGAAGTCCATCTTGAGGAGGTTCTGGCAACACTTGATTGTGTGTTTGTGTGTGTGTGTGTGTGTGTGTGTGTGTGTGATCTGAGTGAGTGTCCTGGGGCTTTTCTCTGCTTGAGATTAACACTCTACCACTTGAGCCCACAGCTCTACTTCCATTTTCTGGTGGTTAATTGGAGATAGAGTCTCGTGATCTTTCCTCTCAGGCTGGCTTTGAACCATGATCCTCAGATCTCAGGCTCATGAGTAGCTAGGATTAAAGGCATGAGCCACCAGCACCTAGGAGCAAAAAGATTCCTTGTGATCAGGAGTTCAAAGCCCGCATAGGCAAAGCAGAAGAGCGTTTGAAACCACTTATGCAAAAAGCCTGATACTCTATCTGAAAGCAAAGATACTGAGAATGTGGTTCACGTGGTAGATTCCCCCTGCCCTCCCCACTCCCCCCCGTCCCTGCCCTCCCCACCCCTGCCTAGCAAGTAAGAGCCTTTGAGTTCGTCACCAGTACTGCCATGCTCTGGAGTTCTGTTACCAGTGTGTTGTGCCCTACATGACAGGTAGATACAAAGTGACTTGTTAATATGCTTTAATTATTTATTTTGTGAGTGATTATGATCTTTGCCACTAAACTGACAAGTAAAGGCAAAAGAAATCCTGTAGATTCTTATGCCAAGACAAGACAAAACAATAGGGCAGACATAAATGTTGTATTTGAATTCAGTCGATAATGATGTCTAGGATCCCTGTAAGTGTATTTGTTACAAAATAGCTAAAACTGGAATTTATTTAGAAGGTTAATAAACATCATCTAACTCTTTTCAAATAAATGCCTGAAACAGGTATTGAAGTAAGTGATATAAAAAGATGTCTTGGGTACAGTCTGGATGTATCTCTCAGTATTCCTGGAGTCTCTGATGGCCTTGAAGTCAAAGGAGCAGTTAACAAGAATGATTGTGTGAAGAGGGGTGAGGGTAGAATCGGTAAGTGTAGCCTAACTTAATAGGTTAATAATGCTGGGGATGGGCTGGGAAGGTGGCTCAATGAGAGTGCTTGCCTTTCATGCATGAGGCCTGGGTTGGATTCCTCAGTACCACATAAGCAGAAAAAGCCGGAAGTGGCGCTGTGACTCAAAGGCCTTGAGCTAAAGAGCTGAGGGACAGTGCCCAAGCCCAGTTCAGGCCCACGACCGACAAAAATAAATACATAGTAATTCTGGGGACAGGTATCAAAGGCACTGTCCTCTCACTTGAGTCCTCCTGCCTTCTCTATATTGTCTACTCTATTTAGAAAAATTAAAATTGCTCAAGGACTTTTTAAGCTGGACATGGTGGTGCAGGCCTGTCATCTCAGCAATAAGAAGGTGGACTCAGAAGGATGACAAGTTCAAGGCCAGCCTGGGACCCATAGCAAGACATTGTCTCCAAAAACCAACCACAAAGCAAACAAAAGAAGTATATTATCTTTGCAGCAGTTTCTGAACCACACTGAACACAGATATTTGTCCGTGTCACAGATAATACTTTTATATATGATCACACAGGTTGTTGGGGGCAGCTCTCAGGGCTGTCATTCACAAGGGGCACATTGTGAATTTATGTTTATTATGCAAATTATATTTATTGTGTGTATTTATTTATTATACAGTCTGTATTTGTTTATTCACATATTTATTTTATGGAAGACAAGTAACCTTGTAAAAAAGTTTCCTATTCCCTCCTTAATTTTACCAGGGTTTGAATGGCCTGGTGACAGTTTCATGTCTATTAACAAAGGAGACGTACAAAGCCATCGCCTCAGCCCAAACATGCTCTGGACCTCATAGCCCTAATCTTTCCTTAATATCAAATTACTGCATAATTTTTTTTAAATTACAAGTTACATAGTCTATGTGTATACATATGATGATAAACGATGAATCTCAATATATTTAAATCATCTGTACCCTTTTTTTGTACTTTTGCCAGTCCTGGGGCTTGATCTTAGGACCTGGTAGCTGATTCTAAGCTTTTGTGCTGAAGGCTAGCATTCTATCATTTGAGCCATGGCTCCACTTCCAAACTTTTGGTTACTTGGTGATGAGAGTCTCATAGTCTTTCTTGCCCAAGCTGGTTTCAAATCACAACCCTTAGATCTCAGCCTCCTGAGTTGCTAATAGTTACCAGCACCCAGCAACTGCACATATTTTTTGAGACAGCATTTTTTTATGAGCCCAAGCAGGTCTGAAAATTATGATCCTCCTATCTCGGCCCAAATGCTGAGATTACAGGGGTGTGCCACCACATTATTTTCATATGTATCATTTTTCTCTAGAAAAAAGAAGAGATGATTGAAGTCTACAATTGGCTGCTGAGAAAAAGATTTTGGAGAGAAAATTACATAATTAATATTTATAATTAAAATTCAATAAATGTACTAAACTTATACCAAAAATACTCAGTATCAGTGTACCAAATGGCATCTTGGTGATAGATCATAGAACTATGAATACATCTGTGAAAGTCTTCCTTCTCTTCTCAGTAAATATCACCCGTGAGAACTTCATTGATGATGTGATTTCCCTCATAAGAGGAGGAACCGGAAAATACGCATTCGAACTGAAGCAAAAGCTTCTCAAAGGAGCCAAGGTCATTGACGTGACTGACTTTGTAAACTGGGCCTCTTCCTTAAGTGATGCTCCCGTGCTCATCAGTCAAAAAGTAAGGAGTATTTTATTTTTAAATAAAAGACCATAATGCTTTCTTGTTAGAGCCACCATTGGTTCGCATGAAGCGTTGGCATGGTGTGAAAGAGATGTGAACCTTCAAATGCATAGTACAAAGTCGATGCCGAACAATAGTTCACTCCCATCTGCCCTTGCCCTTGGTTGTCCCTTGTTTCCTCTGCATATCACATGACCACTTCTAATACAGGAGAACCTCATTGAAGAGGTTTTTTGCTTTGTTTTGTTTTGTTTTTAAGGAATGATCATAAAATTTCTATGAAAGCAAGATGAGACATTCTTATCATGGGGAGTTTACGCCTCCTCTTCCTCATTCTCCTTCTTCTCCTCCTCGTCCTTCTCCTCATTCTTTTTTTTTCTTCTTCTTTTTGTCTATGATGGGGCTTGAACTCTGGGCCTGGGTGCTGCCCCTCAGCTCTTCAGCTCAAGACTAGCGCTCTACCACTTGAGCCACAGCGCCACTTCTGGCTTTTTTCTTTTTGCTTATGTGGTGCTGAGGAATC